TCTTCTCCCAAATAATTGTCAATAAATTTTTTATTTTGTTGCGGGTCCAGAACTTCTAATAAAGCATAAGCCGGATTGCCTCGTCAACTATCCTGACCAATTTTGTCTAACTCGTCGATGAAAAGGAAAAAATATTTGTCGCCCGCTTTTTTGACTAATTGCATAATGCGACCCGGCATAGCACCTACATAGGTGCGAATATGACCTTTTATTATTGAAACATCATTAACTCCTGCGGCAGAAAAAACCAGAAATGGTATCCCCAAAGCATCGGCTATAGATTTAGCAATGGAAGTTTTTCCCACACCTGGCGGACCGTAAAGCAGTAGATTTTTGCTGGCCGACTCTCCTTCTTTGGCACTTCAAGAAGCAGCCAAATATTCGCAAATTTTTTCTTTCACTTCTTTGAGCCCGTAATGGTTTTCAGCTAATTTATGTCGGACTTTGGCTAAATCCCGGCTTTCGGTAACTTTTTGTCGTCAGGGTATATTAACCAATCAATCAATATAGTTGCGAATCATACCAGCCTCACTCGAACTAGGATGCAGAATTTCGTAGCGTTCAATTTCTTCATAAGCAACTTTTTTCACATAATCCGGATAAGATTCTTTCTCCAAACGCTCCAAATATTTTTTCATTTCTCCACTGCCATAACCGCGGGATTTTTTTAATCTTCTTTCAATGGCTTTTTGTTTTTCGCGTAAGTATCACTCTTCTTGCTGTTTTTTAATTTCCTCTTTGGTTTCTTTTTCCAGGTCCTCATCAATTTTTCTTCGGTCGGGCAGGTTGATTAAAATGTCAAGCCTTTCTTGTAAATCCAAAGAGGCCAGAATTTTTCATTTGGTTAACTGGTCGATTTCGCGGCTATTTTGGGCAATAAAATCGATTATATTGCTGACATTTCCCCTCATCATTGTCATATAAGGCAATTTGTCAACCGCACTCAATTTGGATTTTTCCAGAATGTCCGGCAGGTGACGAACAAATTTCTCGGTCAATTCATCTAACGACCTCTCATCCAATTCTTTTTCCGGTAAAATTTGATATTTACCGTGTCAAATTTCGCCTCGCTTTTCCAAGTTGGTTACTCTTATTCTTTCCAATCCCCGTAATTGAATTTCTTTGAAGGAGTTGAGAATTGGTTCCAAATCATCCGTGGTAATATCCAAATTAATTTTAGCCAGGGTTCCAAGTGGCACAAATTTTTCTTCAGAATTACCAGCAAATTTTTCCTTATTAGGAATAACCAACAAACAACCTTTACAATCTTTTCAAGCCTGCAACAACACTTTTTTTCAATAAATATTATTCTCTAATGGGAGAAAATTATCACATCGGGGAAATAAGAAAAAGTTATCTAATAGTAAAATAGGGAATTCAGTCATAGTTTTTAATTGTTATTTTAATTTTATAGGTATGTATCGGTCGTCAAATATTCTCTCCTGACCCTCGTTTAGCCAATCGAAATGTTATAACTATTATATATTTAGATTTTATATATTATTATCAATCTCAAAAAATATTATGGATTTTGTTAACCTTATTCATTAGCACTCTTTTTTCCTCATATATTCTTAATAGGTCAAAAATCATTACATATGTTCGTTAAAAAAGAGAAAATACGTAATTTTTCGATCATCGCTCATATCGATCATGGCAAATCTACTTTAGCTGACCGTTTGCTCGAAAAAACCAATCTCAAAGGAAGCAATAAGTCTTTGGAAAGAGTGCTCGACAGCCTTTCATTAGAGCAGGAAAAAGGAATTACTATTAAATTAAATGCGGTCCAACTATATTATCCACCAGAAAACCCCGAACCTTATGT